TTGAGGACTGGAGTTTGGCGCCCCTGGCTGAAAAACAAATAAACAAACAAACCAAAAACACTGATAATATTGTTTTGTTGTTCTTGCAATATTGAATAAAGTGGTGTTTGAATTAAAATCACTTAAGTCTCATTGGTAGCTAAGAGTGATAGCTCATCAGAGTAAACTCCTTATTTTTATTTTCCATTATTATTCTTTTATTTCACCACCTCAGTTCACCCAAGTGAAAGGCAGAATATAAAAAAAGCTTTTACAGTTAATTATGAAGTTTTATGGCTTTTATTAAATGTTTTTATAAAAAGCTTCATTTGCTAAATTTTTTAAATAAAATGTTTATATTAAACTTTTAATGTTGAATAAAAAGCTTTTATATCAGAAATGTGACCTGACACGGAAGCACATTCGTGCTGACACCTACTGACAAGAACCTGCTACTACACCTACATTGTTTCAGCTGTTGTAGAAATCAGTGACTCAGCTATTTTTCTACAATCGGTGCTGAATTCATTCCAATGGATTTCAAACATTCATATGCTGGAGTGTGTTTAAACAGTCACATTCAATAACATGGAATATTAAGTTTATTTCAGTGGCTCAGTCAGTTCAGGGAGTGAAAATGATTTTAAGCACATTTAAATTTGCCAGCTTTAAAATGTATATATATATATTTTTTTATCTCTTTTTATATAGAAATATTGCTTATAAGTATGACGATAACCACAATGCTTTTATTGTTCTGGTGCTTTAAATCAGTGTTTTTTCAATTGTTCCTTCAGTGACCTTCATGTTATCACATGCAATGTGAGACGTTTTTTTCAGTCAATTATATGCATAATGAGGAATGATGAATATTGAAATCAGATGGAAACAGTGTAACATCTTTTATTATAATATAATAAACATTCAGTGGAACTGCAGAATTTAAAGCCAATATTAAACTGAGGAAAAAGCATTTTCTACAATAATGAATAAAAACATATTAGAAATCAATTAATTAGACTTTAAAAAAATACTAGGTTATTTAATTGAATTTTAGGGTATGCTGCAAATCACCTCCATTTTTAAAGTGAAATAATTTAGGAGAGCTTAAATGAAATCAGAAAAGCCCGATCCTTATACCAATATGTTTAATTTAAGATATGAAATTTGTCTTGCATTTATGACACTTTGTTTTACTTTTCTCAGTTAGTTTGTGACTATTATTTTTTTTTTCTTCTTTTTTCTGCTCAGCTTATTGTATCAAACATTTTTATTACTAATGTTTGCCTTGTCATACTATTTTTCTTGGGGACAAAACCCATAAAAGATTGCTATAAATCCGCCTTTTAACTGAAAATGTCACGTGCAGCAATGATTTGTGGGTAATACTCATCGTCAAAGAAAATGCTGTCTCAGCATAAAGATGGAAATCGGACAGAAAATGGGCAAAGCGAAGGGCGGATGTGGAGAATGTGGGACGCACTGCGAAGCCTTCAACATGAACGCGCATTTGAGAGACGGACACTACGCAGCCGCAGTGAGCCGCCATCAACCCGCTTCTTTTTAAAACGTCCTCGACCCGATTCTCCACCGTCCTTAGAGGGAAAACCTCTTGTAAAGAAACAGATGTGAGGCAAGATGCAAATCCCAGGCTGAACAATGACGGTGAGGATGAGTACAGACAATTAAAAAAAATGGTGTTAATCAGTGTGCTGCTGTTATATCAGACAGAATGGACCAGGAGAGGAACTGACCCATCAGAACCTAAAGAACCAGACATCAGAGTCTCTTCATCCCTCAGTCATCTCCTGAGGCTGATATGGTACAGAACATTTAGCCATGATTAAGTTTCTTATTGTGGTTTTAGTAGACTGTTCTGGTTTAATTATCTGCTTATTGTATAATAGCATCAGCCAAAATAACATAAATGGTGATTTAAAGAACAAATGATAGCAATACATTAACAGTAAATACATAAATATTTCCTACTTTAAAAGGTTTGAGGGCTTTCTATACGTTTTATTTAGAAATGTTGAAATATTTTACGACTACATTGTTCAGCGGTCATTTAATGTAGAATTTCACCATTAACTTAGTTTACCAGTTTGGATTGTCTGACTTTCTATTAATGAAGAAAAAACATGCCAACCAAAAATGTACCAGGCACAGACCAGCAGCCCAGGGGCGGTTCTAGACGGGGGCCAACAGGGGAACCGAAGAAATTATACTGAATAAATACCGTTTGTTAATATTTAGAGGTAGATTTATTTAACCTTCACAATTTTACCTTAATTCATGCAATGTTAAGGAGGAAGAGATGGGCTCTGCTGCAGTATATATAAACGTTTTCCCGATTTAATGTTTTCTACTAAACAGAAAAAAGAAAAAGACCATCAGTATCATCAGTATAATAATTTATTACCTAAAAATTATATTAAAAGTTTAAATAATTTTTCTATCTAAAATTCAATCCACATCATCAATACGTTTTCTAAGCATTAAAACCATGTCAAATAAATACATCCATTTCCCCAAATCATTTAAATAAAATTACAAAGAATAAACACACAAGATTCCAAAATTTTAGAAGTCTAAATCTGAAAGTAGTCAAACCTGCAATTACTCCACTTCCAAACATCAGGTTACCAAGAATCTTACTTGAGGTTCACATTGTACCATTAAACCTGTGAGTTCTCATGTGAACGGTTACATTTCTTTTGAGCGAAACCTTTTCTACAGAATCTACAACAGAAAGGTTTCTAACCCGTGTGAATCTTCTTGTGATGAAGTAAACTGGATCTACACAAAACATTTTTCTCGCTTGTCACTAAGGGTGCACCGATTGCAGTTTTTGTTTTGGGCCGCTCTAATAGTCACACCTCTCAACGGAGAGCAGAAGAGAGCAGTGGCTGAGGTCAATAAAATTGGGGGATCAGACCAGCTTCACATGCAAGAATCAGCTGATGTCCCAAAATTAAGGAAATCAACATAGATTAATCGGCTGGCTGATAAATCAGTGCACCGCTACTTCTCACGTGTGTGAATTCTGATGTGAGAAGTTAAATTGCTTTTTTGAGTGAAACTTTTACCACAGGTTTCACATAAGAAAGGCTTCTCACCTGTGTGAACTCTGATATGCCCAATCAAGTCAGGATTCCTCTGGAAACTTTTACCACAGGTTTCACATAAGAAAGGCTTCTCACCTGTGTGAACTCCGATATGCCTAACCATGTCAGATTTCCTCTGAAAACTTTTTCCACAGGTTTCACATAAGAAAGGCTTCTCACCTGTGTGAACTCTGATGTGACTAACCAAGTCAGGTTTCCTCCGGAAACATTTTCCACAGTTCTCACAAGAGAAAGGCTTCTCACCAGTGTGAATTGTCATGTGATTAAGTAAATGAGATTTAGATACAAAACTTTTTCCACAGGTTGTGCACGTGTAAGGCCTCTCACCCGAGTGAATTCTCATGTGTTCGTTTAAAATGCCGATTCGATGGAAACTTTTTCCACAAGCTGCACATGTGTACGGTTTTTCCCCTGTATGAATTCTCATGTGATCAATAAAACGACTCTTGTGAGGGTAATGTTTTCCACAGGTGGAACATGTGAAAGGTTTCTTAGCCGTGTGAGTCTTCATATGTGTTTTCAAGGAATAATTTCGAGAAAAGGTTTTGTCACAAATTTTACAAGAATATAGTTTTTGTTTTAGGTGAGCTTTCTTGTGCTTTTTTTGGTTTGAAGTCTCAGTTGTGCCTTTCTGTTTGTTCACCAACATGTCATCAGTCTCCTGTTTCACCACAAGCTGTACTTTATCCTGACTGATGCAGAGTTGCTTCTCTTCCTCTTTGAACTGTTTATGTTCTGGTTCCTCTTGTTCCCGTTTCATCTGCAGAGGTTCTGGTTCCTCTTGCTCCCGTTTCATCTGCAGAGGTTCTGGTTCCTCTTGCTCCAGTTTCATCTGCAGAGGTTCTGGATCCTCCTGATGTAAAGTGGAGTTTTCCGGGTTGCTGGGCTCATTCAGAACCTCCTCCTCTTTAGACAAGCTGCATTGTGTGAGATCTGGACAAAAAGAAAACAAAAGCTTCAAAATGTGAATCAATGAACCCTTCACTTTCATTAACAAAAGCTAAAATAAAAACAGTCTTCAGCAAACGTGCGAGTCCATAAAATATTAAAATCTCTGCCATAGTTCGTCTTTTGGAGCAGAAACATTTGGTTTAAATATTTACTATTTTACAACAAGTTACTGTGTGGTTATAATATAATAATCACCATTATATTCTGTGATAATCTATATTTCTGTAATATTCATAATAATTGTCCTTCCCTCTTTTTTGTTTCTGTTTGTTAAAACGGTGGAGTACTCCCCAAATAATCCAGAAATGGATTATTTTAGTTTATTAGTAATATCAGAAATTGTGGAGTACGCACTATTCAGATCAATACTATACAGCCCAGAAATGGAATCAGAATAACTACAAACTTGGAATCCAGAAATACTTAACAGGAACAGTCATGGCTTAGTTTATATTACTTTTAACCCAGAAAAGGAATTACATCAGTCTCTCTTTAGCTTATTTTATCAGAAACTGTAGAGTACTCAGTATTTAGAAATGGAATTGGATACTCAGCAACGCTGAATAGGAGCACTTAGTTTACATGCCTTAGAACATTAGATTAGTTTCCTTTCCTCTTTTTTCCCCTTGGTATGTTATGTTGTTTGCATTTCCTTTTAGCTCATGTAAAGCACTTTGAATTGCCTTGTTGCTGAAAATGTGCTATATAAATAAAATTACCTCAGCTCATTAAAAATTATAGTATAACTTGGTGCATCTTATAACATTCACCAGGAAGGTTTATACAGGTGGTAAAGACTATTATCTATATGCAATTCTTTCACTCTCTCAAAAGTAAGAACTCTCAAATCTTCCGTTTTTGTTTTGAAGGTTTCATAAAGACCCAATGTGAGGAAAAAGAGGGAGATATTTTAAAAAGGGAGACGGATTCACCTCACATCGGACTCAATCTCAGCTGCTGAATCATTCTGAAGCAAGAATGTGTGTTTTATTGTTTTTTGTTTTCATATTTCCAGCCGATGAATTGTATTGCATCAATACAATTCAAAAATACTTCATAAAATTCTTAGTAAATATAGATTTGATAGCCGTTTGAATAAAGTTTCTAGTAAAAAAAAAGAAAAAAAAGTGTATTATAATCGATTAAATGCGCCGATACTTTATTGTGCCTGCCAAACATACAACACTGAGTGGAGAGGACGACCGTTCCAAGATGGCCGCCCTAAATCTCGTCAGCTACAATAGGCGAGAGCGGTCCATGTATGAGGTTCCATTTTTGTCAAAAATAAGTAGAAGTCATAAGTGTAGATGTCGATCTATGTTGCATAGGTCTATGTTGCATACGAGTTTGCTGCACATGTAGTTCATGTAGTTGGTCCGTGTTGCTATTGCCTGTTCTCGTCGCCATTAAAAGTCTTGAAGTAGGTCATGTCTGATCAAAGAGTTTATTAAATATTACAAAAATGTTGGTCTTTCAATACCAGTGGTTCAAAATACTTAGATTTCTACCTCGTAGTGTCTTTATGCATTAGTTAGGGGAGCTAACGAGGTTGATGGGTGCTATGCGCAGTCTTCCGTTTTTATTTTCTTTTTAAATCTATAATATCTTCACCTTT